TAACGTACAATAAACAACAAAAAGAAATGAAACAGAAAAATTACATTTGCAAGATTGAAAAGTCTACTTCCGTAGCTAGCTAGTTTACAAAAAAATCATTAGAATCACAAGCTTTTATTGTTGTTTCTAATTTTTCCGATTTAAATGTTGTACATTAGTCGTCGCGGCTAGTACGACGCGTCGGTAGCCCTAGCGTTAATATTCGACGTTATCCAATATTTGACACTATCAACAGTAGAAGAAACAAGTAAACCGGCAAAATCACCGATAGCGGGCCTCGTTCGAGCCGGAAACGGTACGTAGTCCGGAACAGATATCGCGTAATTAATCACAGACGCGTACGACGCACGGCAGCATCCTTAAATAATCCGGCAGCGGATCGGTCGAGGGGAGGATCGAAGATCGGTCGGGATCAGATGCAAATCAGATTCATTAGCGTTAAGCCGGAGGAACGGGGACGGAAGGCGGAGTCGAGCGTGGAGACCCTGCGACGTAAACACCGCCAGCACTGCGTCAACCTCTGCCCCAACTTCGCCGAGGGTTGTTATTGCGCGGTTACGCCAACTCTCCCCCGCCCCCCCGTGACATTCGTCTCCTTTGTGAATACGTACGTACACCTTCTCGAGATTTTTCTTTTGGCGTTCTCCTTTCAAACGACCACCAATATCGGTCAGAGCGCGTGTTAAATTTCGAATCGACGAAATTTTGTCGAAACTAACGTATTTAAATAAATCTTCCCAGAGATAAATCCCTCTAGAAACTTCTCTTTGCATCTATTAACACCGAAACGACGATAAGCATCGAGCAGTCACTGCGTTATATCCTAAATCGAATTCTATAGTTTCGAAGTTCGAAACTTATTTCTATCAAACAACGATGGATACCTAACATAGCGTATGTTAAATTTTGAATCTAATTTTACGAAATTTTTTATCGCGACTACTGTTTGATATATCGTATTAAAGTAAAAAATGTCTATTTTGGTGAAGTTTTTAACCGAGTAAGGAAAAGTTTATATCGGTTTATTATTTTCTATTTAAGAAGAGATATGGTATTGTCATGAATTTAATAGGTGGACAGAAGAAGTCGCAGAGGAAGGATCATCACGCTCGAAGAATGATCGAAACCGATTATTACCACGGGGAGAATACAAACATCGCAGTGTGTGGGGCTCGCGTTCAACGGTTTGCCTGGGGAAACGACCACGGAGCTATACTCCCGGGATTACAGGGATTACCAAAAGACTATATCACTTTCGATCATCCTATGCTGACGCCCAAATGTATTTCACGCCAAGTTATCCCTTAATCGCTTTGCTTTTAGGAGATCGTTATCATACTAGTGTTAATCAGTCCAGAATCTAAAAATTCTTTCAATTTCCGATCTATCAAGTATTCTACGTATTTGGAAACGTAATTAATATTGCTAGGAAGCCATGCAAAGTAAACGATTTTTTCTGAAACAGTAATAAATTCAAGACAAAGCTATAAACAAAAGACACGACAAAGACGCCAAAGGATACAAGAAAAAAGATGAATAATCTCTAATTTCCGGCGTGACAATAGAAGACGCGAGCCGGTGATAGAGTGGCCAACTTTTTCCCCTAGCGAACGATCGCGTCAATTATGCGAAACCGGGCGTAATGAAAGCGGCTCCCTGGAAACCAGTCGAAAACAAACTCTGAAAGGATCTTGGCAACCCCTAATCAAGTCCCGTTTAATAAAACGCCCGGCCCCTTCCCACCCCCTCCCGACTCCAGCCACCGTGGCACGGTGTCGTCCCTTCGTGGCTAATCTGACTTTGATTAAAGTTTTAGCGACACCTAAAAGCGTGCCGCCCGATAGAAGCCGGCGTTGGTACACACGCGTCCCCTACGCGGAAAGCTTGGCTAGGAGGCTAGCCAGTCGCTCGTGTAAGTCGATTTTTATTACGTTCCGGCGCATACATTACCAGACATCGGTAGAGACACGCGGTAATGGGCTTATCGACGCCACGGGATTACGGTAATAAAGCTACGGAGACGCGAAACCGCGCGACAAGTCGCAGCGCCGCGCCGCGTGCAAGACGCAGTCTGGACCATGAGTTCACGAAAGAGCTTATGAAACGTTTTTCGAACCATAGAAATATATACAGTTGCTCACGAAAGTATATGAATGCTGATCACAGAAAAATTGTATGTATAATATCGCGTGTATTATATGAAACATTTGTGAAACTTCATTAACGTCGTATCGAGACACGACTCAAAATGTGTTTACATCCTACATGCGTTTACAGAATAAAATACAGAAGTTAGAAGGCAACTTACAAGACATAAAATTAGAAAGAAATTAGTGTACGGCTTGAATAATGGTCTGAAACGTAATTAATGGCAAAGATAGTCTCATTGAATATTGGAACTTATTAATATAATGGATAACTGACTGTTTAACTAATTTTGTAATCTCTGCAAAATATGCTATAGTTGTAAAATTGAATTACTTAATAAAAGTATGCATATTAAATATTCCAATATTTATGTTCGGGAGTCACTGTATATTAATCAATGTTCTGTTTGAACTCTTATTGATTACAAACATACGTTAACCATAAATATATATTTTATCTTGTGACTTAATTTAGGTGTATATCTATATATGTATAGGTATACACATAGCGTTAACTAGAGCTGAAAATATATTTTTATACATATAACCTTTATGATAGAATGGTCAAAGTTTTATATTTTGAGACCTTCGTTGGAAATGGTTTGAAGATTTATTACTTATCAGGTATAACAGAGTACACCACTTCTTATAAATACGTATACGTTAGTTTGTAATGACAATATGTAACTGTTACTAATATGTATGAATTAATGAAATATACATTGTAATGCAGATATATTTATATATAATAGAATATATGTATATAGAATGAATATAAGTAATGCATAGGAAGGCTCAAGATATAAATTTTGGCTTTTTGAACATAAAAATCGTACATTACCAATTGACGAAGAAAAGAAGCGTTCGTATAACCTTGCTCTTCTCTTTGCTTTGTCCCCTTGTTATTGGAAACCGTGGATTTACGTTACGACGAACGAATACCGAGTTCTATTACGAAATTTTCGTTCTTCACCATGTTTCGCAAATAATCACGCTATGTAACAATCATTACTCTAACAAATTCACCTACAATTCACAAAACGTAATAATTGCGCGCGATTTATGAGCACTCAAAAACGGTGCAATTCACTACGCTATTGTATAAGTAATATCCTCTAGTGAGAACACAAGAAACTAAATTTGCTGTTTTACCTGGTAAATTTAATTTTGTGTAACGTTATCTGGTGGAACACGACATCAGGTATGAACTCCATCTATCGATGTATTTTGATATTAAAGTGCATAAGCCAGTAAATTAGATAACTTCTTACTATCGACTTGGCAATCCCTAAAATGTGGAACATGAAACAGCATTAAATATCAGGTCTATATTAAATCTTGTCTGTGTTTTTACTTCTTACATATCTACGGCGTCTTCGTGAGTTAATTACGAATATTGACATTTCGAAGCCAATATTCTTGTCTATTCAGACTTAAATAATATAGTTTTATTTATAATCACTTCGTGTTGCTTGTATAATAAGTATAAGATTGAGATGTAATGTTAGGTAAATTTAAAATATATATTTGTCTACATAGTATTTTAATGTTATTTACACAAACTTGTATTAAGCAATAAACAACTTTATGACATAAACATTGTAGGGTTTCTCCATTATCACAATACTCAAGTGAAATATCAGTAAAATAAATAGTGTAAATTATTTTCACAACGATATAATTAAACATGTCAACTTTGGAAGATAAGATTTTAGGCGAAAAGTTGCACTATTATTGTAGTAGCTCCAGCGAAGACGAAGAAAATGATTCTGCAGACTCTGACAAAGAGACAGAAGATGAAAAATATTCACAAATCATTACGGATTCCATAGAACCATCGTTTTCAGAATGGGATGGCACTTCCAGCAATACAGGTCCCAAGGGTGTCATAAAAGTAAAATTGTGATTGCGATATTTAATGAAAATTTGGAACTGTAATGTATATTTCAATATGTTTTAATCGTATTTTAAGGATTGGCAACGATATAAACAACTGCAAGCAGAAAAAAGAGATGAACAAGAAAAAGAAAGACTTCAATTAATAAAGAAACTGAGTCTAACATGTCGTAGCTCTTTAGATGAAGAAAAAGAGAAAATTATGCAAACTGATCCTGATCTCGCTGAATTATTAACCGATGAATTTCTTCTACAATATCAAAAACAAAGAATGAAAGAGATGCTTGCAAGAACTGAGAAACTTTGTTTTCGTAGAGTAATTAATTTGGAAACAGCTGATCAATTTTTAGAAGCAATCGACAATGAAGACAAATCAGTGACAATTGTTGTTCATATTTATGAACCTAATGTTCCTGGCTGTGAGGCTATGAATGGTTGTTTAATATCCGTCGCAGAGAACTATCCCTTTGTGAAATTCTGTAAAATTTTAGGTTTGTACTTGGAACATTTATTTGCTTTTACATCACCGAAATTATGATATATAATATTACTTTTGTTACAGGTTCGGTAGCTGGACTCAGTAAACATTTTAAGAAAGAAGGAGTTCCAGCTTTGTTAGTTTATAAAGCTGCTCAAGTTATAGGAAATTTTGTTCATGTAACAGATTATTTAGGAGTAGATTTTTATGCCTCTGATGTTGAAGCCTTTTTAATTGAACATGGGATGCTTGTTGATAAAAATTGTGTACCTCTCATCACTTCACATGATGAACATGCCTTATCAGACAGCGAATAAATGAAACAAACTTTTTCATAATTCTGAATATGTTCTTCCTAATACAATTTAATAAATTTAACAGTTCTTATCTATTTACTCCTAGGTAACACAACTTAAAGAGTTGTAATAAATATTATTTAAATGTAATAGAAATGAAAATGTCTGAAAATAATACCTTTTATGGGTAGAATCATTACGGATTCCATAGAACCATCGTTTTCAGAATGGGATGGCACTTCCAGCAATACAGGTCCCAAGGGTGTCATAAAAGTAAAATTGTGATTGCGATATTTAATGAAAATTTGGAACTGTAATGTATATTTCAATATGTTTTAATCGTATTTTAAGGATTGGCAACGATATAAACAACTGCAAGCAGAAAAAAGAGATGAACAAGAAAAAGAAAGACTTCAATTAATAAAGAAACTGAGTCTAACATGTCGTAGCTCTTTAGATGAAGAAAAAGAGAAAATTATGCAAACTGATCCTGATCTCGCTGAATTATTAACCGATGAATTTCTTCTACAATATCAAAAACAAAGAATGAAAGAGATGCTTGCAAGAACTGAGAAACTTTGTTTTCGTAGAGTAATTAATTTGGAAACAGCTGATCAATTTTTAGAAGCAATCGACAATGAAGACAAATCAGTGACAATTGTTGTTCATATTTATGAACCTAATGTTCCTGGCTGTGAGGCTATGAATGGTTGTTTAATATCCGTCGCAGAGAACTATCCCTTTGTGAAATTCTGTAAAATTTTAGGTTTGTACTTGGAACATTTATTTGCTTTTACATCACCGAAATTATGATATATAATATTACTTTTGTTACAGGTTCGGTAGCTGGACTCAGTAAACATTTTAAGAAAGAAGGAGTTCCAGCTTTGTTAGTTTATAAAGCTGCTCAAGTTATAGGAAATTTTGTTCATGTAACAGATTATTTAGGAGTAGATTTTTATGCCTCTGATGTTGAAGCCTTTTTAATTGAACATGGGATGCTTGTTGATAAAAATTGTGTACCTCTCATCACTTCACATGATGAACATGCCTTATCAGACAGCGAATAAATGAAACAAACTTTTTCATAATTCTGAATATGTTCTTCCTAATACAATTTAATAAATTTAACAGTTCTTATCTATTTACTCCTAGGTAACACAACTTAAAGAGTTGTAATAAATATTATTTAAATGTAATAGAAATGAAAATGTCTGAAAATAATACCTTTTATGGGTAGAAATATATATATATATATATACATATACATACATATATATATATATATACATATATATATATATATATAAATTTATATATATATATATTATGTGATATCAGAAAGTACACATAAACAGTATATATATTTATATTCATTTTTATACAAGATATAAATTTATATAGAAATACATTCAAAATTGATTTTCTTTTGGGCAAATAACTTAAAGTTTTTCTAATAATTGTTTTTTTTTCTCGATAGCTTTGCAAAAATGTAGATAAGTTTTTAAGATTTCATTATATTCTGTGTTTTGTAACTTCTCATATTGTTTTTTCAAGTTTTCCTTCTCTTTAATTTCACTCAGTATTGCAAATAATTTCTTATCTATGGCTACATTTAATGTTTTGAATGCATCAATCGTTATTGGGGTCTCCTTATACATTTTTATAATACATGACAACTTTGTAATCTTTGCTTGCACTTCTGCAACTTGCGCTTGCAATAATATGTGTTCTGCTTTTTCCAAATAAAGTTTACTTACATCTTTGTATTTTAAGGTATTCCACTTATTCATCAAAGCCTTACATTTCATAATATCTGCTTCATATTGAGCACATAATTCTTCAATTTTATCTTTCCATTGGAATATTTGTACTTCATGAGGCTCAAACATTTTTTTACGCATATTGCCATCAATTGATTTTAGAGTTTCCTTCAGGTTTCCTCCTAATTGTTCATATCTAAAATATAACATAACATTATTAGATTTACTCTTTTAAATGTAATAAATTTTAAACAATGATAAACCTTAATATAAATTCATGTATCTTCTCTCGTAGTAGTGTTTCCACACAATATTTAATGTCTAGTATTTCTTCATAACTAAGATCATATTTTGGCAAATCTGTGATTCCCAAAATACATAATTCCTCTTGTATATTTTTTGATGTAGATGGCAAATGCATATATTTGTTAAGCTCATGAATTGAAAGTAATCCTTTTAGTTTAAAAGCAACATCATCAGATAATATCCCATTTACATTCATTGATGCCTCTTTTATGCATTCTAAAATTATTTTGCTTTTTACATGTTCTCCTATGCTATCTTCGCATGAAGCAAGACATTTTATAGTTTTTTCTAAATGGTTAGATTCTTGATTTGTAGTATTTCTGCTTGTATTGTAACTCAAACTACATTGTTGTTCAAATAAGTTTTGCAATGAATCTATTCTACCAAATATTCGACTACAATTCAAACGAGAAATTCGGGAAATATCTAAAAATAAATGAAATTTGTTCTGCTATATTATAAATCTTTTCCTATTATACATTTATATTATGCTCAATTTCAAAGATTTTAATTAAACAACAATTTACATACCAGAGATCTGACTTAAATCGCCAGAACTATTCATATTGTCAACTTCTTATAACTCCTAACTAACTACTACGATTGTTTTGGAAAGTCTTTCAAATTCAAACGGTTGAAAAAATTATTAAACTAATAGAGAAGAATGTGTACTCATACTTTTGTAAATTCCCTACATCGTAACTATATTTAAATAATTTTCGTGCGGTGTTAAAATAAATAAAATTAAAAATAAAATATTTATTTTATTTATTAGAGTTAAGTAATTATGCTTCAATACAACTATAACATTTAAAAAACTCGACAAATAATATACATTTATATATATTCCTCTCTATATATATCTATACAGAAAGGTTGCATGTGTGTGTCATGTTGTATCTACGTTAGTAGCTTAGTACGTTTATAGCCATAGACGACGTTTCACTATTTGTATGAGTCGTTGTGTTTAACCTGAAAAATGGCGGCCAACATTAATGGAGTATTCACTGAAAATTTACAAAATGCAATACTTCAAAGTAAAGTGCTTATTGTGGGTGCTGGTGGAATTGGATGTGAGATATTAAAAAATCTAGTTATGACAGGGTTTGTCAATATTGATATTGTAAGTATGCTAATATTTATCAAAACATGTAATAACTTTCTAACCTACGCATTTTTCCCTCCTTTGCTGTTATTCATTCTTGGCCAAACTTTGAAACCGGCATTTATATTGTTGCAATGTACCATATTGATACTATGATTTTACAAAGAAAGTTATTGAAATCATTATTGTTAAAATAGTAAAAAGATTATTTTTTAACATCTAATCAATGTATAATTTTATTTTCAGATTGATTTAGATACAATTGATGTTAGCAACTTAAATAGACAATTTTTATTTCAAAAGAAACACGTGGGAAAATCAAAAGCTGATGTTGCAAGGGAAACAGCACTAACGTTTAATCCTGATGCAAAAATAGTTCATTACCATGACAGTATTACAAGGTAAGTTTTTTTATATTATTAAAATAATATTATATTTTATAATATTATTATGTATTTTTACATTCACAGTTCTGATTATGGAGTATCATTCTTTAAAAAGTTCACATTAGTTATGAATGCACTTGATAACAGAGCAGCTAGGAATCATGTAAATAGAATGTGTTTAGCGGCAGATGTACCATTAATTGAATCTGGTACAGCTGGTTATGAGGGTCAAGTAGAACTTATAAAAAAAGGATTGAGTCAGTGTTATGAATGCACACCAAAAGCTGCGCAAAAAACTTTCCCTGGTTGTACAATACGTAATACACCTAGTGAACCAATTCATTGCATAGTATGGGCAAAACATTTATTCAAGTAAGACTTTAAATTAATATTTCTCTTAAAAAAAGCATATAAAACAATATAAGAAAGTATACTCTTAAATTTTATATAGTCAGTTATTTGGTGAAGAAGATCCTGATCAAGATGTTTCTCCAGATACTGCTGACCCAGAAGCAGCAGGTAATAGTAATATTTAAACTTATTATAAATTGTTTAAGTAATATGCACATATAAAAAATTTTGTGTTACAGATTCTGCAGGCCAAGGTGCTTTAAATTCAGAATCAAATGAAAAAGGAAATGTTGATAGAATATCAACTAAAGTATGGGCACAATCGTGTAATTATGATTCAGAGAAATTATTTACAAAGTTATTTCATGATGATATAAAATATTTACTAAGTATGGATAATTTATGGAAGAAAAGAAGACCACCTACTCCTTTAAGTTGGAAAGAATTACCAGATGGAGGTCTGTAAAATAATTGCTTTCAGTTCCTGTTTGACTAAAAATTTGTGTATTTATTAAAATATTTATAATATAGTACCAGGATGCAGTAAAGAAGTTAATGAACCTGGCTTAAAAGATCAACAACGTTGGAGTATTTCCAAATGTGGAGCAGTGTTTGCTGAATCAGTCAAAAATTTAAGCAGTAATTTGAAAAATTTACAAGAAAAATCACCAAATAACCATTTGGTTTGGGATAAAGATGACCAAAGTTCAATGGATTTTGTTGCTGCATGTGCCAATATAAGAGCTTACATTTTTGGTATACCTCAGAAGACAAGATTTGATATAAAATGTAGGAAAATAATTATTAGTTACTATGATAGGAAAAAGTTATAGATCTTTCTAACTTCATTAATATTCTACAGCAATGGCAGGGAATATAATTCCTGCAATCGCAACTACAAACGCAATAGTTGCTGGCTTAGTTGTTCTCCATGCATTCCGAATTCTCGAGAATAATTTAAAAGCATGTAAATCTGTATATTTACGTTCGAAAATGAATCATCGAAATCAATTATTGGTACCAGAAAAAAATGTTAATCCACCAAATCCAAAATGTTATGTTTGTGCACCTACACCACAGGCCATATTAGCAATCGATACATCAAAAACAACAATCAAGGAACTTGATGAAGTAGTATTAAAAAATAGGTTAAACATGATTGCTCCAGATGTTATAATAGATGGTACTGGTACTGTTGTTATTAGCAGTGAGGAAGGGGAAACAGAAGACAATAATAATAAATTCCTAGAGGAATTAGGAATTAAAGATGGTACCATTCTTAAAATCGACGATTTCCAACAAAATTATTCATTAACTGTAACAATAGTCTATAGAGAACGACCAAGTTTAAAAGGTGATAGTCCTGATTTCGTAATTTTAGCCAAAGAACAGGATCTTAAACCTAAAGAAGATAATGATTTAGTGAAACCATCTACTTCAAATGGCCAGGTAAGTAAAATAATATATGCACATATTAATGTTTAGAAATTTAAAAATATATATATATATATAAACTAAAAATTTTACTCAGGTGGAGACATCTGATGATAATGTAATGTTGGCTAAAACTGAGGCTGTTTCATCAGATATGGCAAAGAAACGTAAAACTGCAACTCCTGATGAAAATGTATCTTCAAAGAAACGGAAATTGGAAGTTAATGATGTAGATGATGATATTTCTATTATTGAAAGTGATATAAATAATGATACTGATAAAGCAAAATCAAATTTTAAAATACATAAGAATTCAGAAGATGATGATTGTTTAATTGTACATGATGATAACATACAAATAGCTGCAACTTCGCAGTGAGTAAGTGAAATACATTGATATACCTCATAAAAAGTTGACAAATTACGTTTTTTTTTTGCAATCAATACACTAATCAATTAAATTTATATAGAAACATATGTTTGTACAAAAAATGTACATACATATCAATTCCAGTAATTCTCTTATGTGGTTTATTTTGCAATCTAAATTTTCATATAATTTTGTTAATATAATTCATAAATAAAAATACAATCATTAGTAAATAAGTTCATAGTACATATGATGATACAGTACAGGAACAAGTGACATATGTATAATAGTAATTTTACTGAAATTATTTTTGAATATGTATTTTAATTTTTACAGATATTTATAAAAATACATAGTGCTATGTTTGTAGTATCTAATTTCATGGATTATAAGTATGGAATGCATTTTTATACAAACAAGAAATAAATACATTTTTCTTACTACAAAATATTGTATTTCTCTATTAAATTATGGTTTTTTTTCAACGAATCTTTTCTTTGCACAATTTATATACCGATTAATATTGTAATTGTACATTTCAAAATCAATTTTATATTTTTCGTACAATTTTAAAACTATATCTTGTGTCAAATTTGCGAAATATTTGCATGTAATGTCAAAGTTTGTGTGTCCACCCTGCGTTTCCCCTAACATAGGAAAATATGCCTTATTTTTATCCAGACCAAATTTAGAGAACACATAATTAATTTGTCCATATGTATAATCATCTAACTTTAGGACATAATTATATCGTACATCACATACAGCACAGTGCGAATAGTATTGAGTCCAATGAACATCATCTTTTTCAGAGGTTTGTAAAAGCCACTCCAAAAATTCTTTAAAAGTTGGTACTATCTTTAACCTTCACAAAAGATAAGTATGTGTTAAAATCTATTAACAGTTGAATAAAGATATTTTTATAATCATTGTACCTTTTATCAGATGTAAATACTTTTTCTTGAAAATTACCAGTTGTTGTATTCGAATGAAACAATTGAGGTCTTGTAAAACGGAATATCTTTTCTGTATAAATCCAAGCTTGTGCAGTATGTTTTGAATTATCTGCTATTCGATCTCTAAAAGTAAAAAGATATAATGTTATTTAATAATTAATTATGCACGAAATACTGAAAATTATATATATACCTATATGATGACACAAGCCTTTGAAAAGGATCTCGTACGACAAGAAGTTTAAATATTTTTGTATCATTTGATAAAAGTTGCAATTCCTTTAATGTTCGTGGTGATAAAATGTCTACATCTCTATAAATAATTTACAAGTTAAAGTAATTGAAAAAATTATTTATACAAATAATTAATAAAAACTATAAGTACTTATAATAGCTTCGCGTGGGTGGACGATTTTTCATATCTGCAAATAATTTTGTAAAACTTGTTGAAGCTACTTTGCGAATCCAACAGTACATTGATTTATGTTCAGCATTATATAAAAAATGCCTTTTTATCAAAGGAGTTTTTAAATTATATTTCATACATACATTCGAAATTTGTTGCAGAATAATTGCACATTCCTATTTAAAAAAAAAAAAAAATACTGGTGGTATACGCACATGTATATTTTATATACTACATTCAAGTAATATAAACGTCTAATTGCTTACCTGTAAATTTATTAATTCTCCTTTCATTTCATCATGTTCTAAAAGTTCCATTTCTAAATTGATTGGTTTTATTACCTGATTGACATTTTTTATTTTATTAACTGATTGAGAAACTACAGAACATTCTTTCTTTGTTTGATTATACTTTACTAAAAACAACGAAACTGGATATTGTGTTAAGTAAGTACCCTGTTTTATTTTTAATAAAAAAAAGCAAACTGCAATGTATAAAATAACACATAGCATGCATTTTACAAATTGTATTTGAAGTGACATAATTAAAACTGAATAGATTATTGTGACAGTCATCAACTGCCAACATTAAAACATCCGTCCATGAATTGCCTGTGGAAGTGGAATAAAAGATAAAACTTATCTCTTAGTTCCATTATTCCTGCATAATGATGAAGAAAAGATCGAACGTGATGTTGTTGAAAAGGTGAAAAAGAGGCAAAATCAATTAATTTTTTTAAAATCTTTACTACGAAATAACGTCAAAAACATACTATATAAATCAGTTTATATTCATAATGTTAGGCTGTTTCTGTACTTAATAGCGATAATTACATGCAATTTATGAGTGATACATATTGCTAATTATGACCAAAATATTTTTTTCTGCTATTGATTATCTTCATAAATTTTAGTTTGTGAAAAGATTGTAGTTCGTATTAAGTAGTTTATTCGTTTTAATCGTTTTAGAGTGCTGGAAAAGTAAATTTTTATCGACGGCAGTGGTCTATATTAAAATGATACAATTCGATTATAGAAATTCGCATATTAGATAATGCAAAAGCAGTTGTTTATCATGATTTAGTTGATTCACAATTCAATATCTTTATTTGTAAAAAAGCTCAAATATATCAACATATGTAAAAATTACAAAAATATACGTATATATATGTTTAAATTGAATATAATGAAAAGATTAGAAAATAAGTAGTAAAAATTAGAAACTAAGTTAAGTAGACTATTAATCAAAAAACTTATGTTTCATTGATACTAAATGCATATAACACAAGAGCTGGTAAATTGTGAATCAGTTTTACAGCTTTTTTATTATATATTATGTGAAAGAAAAAATTGATTAAATTATTTTTACAATTTCGTATTATTTCATCTAAAATGATATTTCAATTCTGTTAAAAACAAAGTATTACTCAAATATGTAAATATGTTTATCTATACAATTAAAACTTTAAATTACTTCTTTCTGAATTATTAGTACGAATAATCACATGATAATTAAACATTTACTATTGCCATGATTATAAGTGTTACGGTACCTTAAAAACCCTTACTATATGTGCATGAATGAAGAAATGACAGAATAGGTGAATAAAGATAATATTCAAAATTTCTTATCTACGGTCCCTATATCTATGATGATGATCACGAGAGGATCGATGGTCACTGTGTCGGCTATGACGACTTGCTGTTCTCCACAAGAATTCGTCTACACTCCTTTCGTAACTACGTTTTTCAAGTGCGGATGCCGCTGCACTGTAATCAGGTGGTAATGGTAAACCATCGTAATACCTAGGTGGTGGCGGCGGCGGAGGTAAAGAATCATATGGATGAGGTGCAGCATAAGGAGGTAGAGGAGGCAGCTGATGTTGCATAGTACGCATATAATCTGCAACATATGCTTCAGCTGCAGCAGCTACACCCAATCCTGTGCTACCGTATCCCCTATAAAATTCATTTCTATCAAAAATAACATATTAGATTTACGACATATGTCAAAACACGTACATACTTGGAATAAGGAGAATCACTTCGATTGAACCAAGTAGCATACCGATGATGATGATGATCTCTTGATCCTCTATGTTCAGTACCAACTAAATGGGATCCTCTAGCTAATGAAGCTAAACGAGATCGTGAAGTTAAGAAAAGTCTACGTCCTCTGCCTCCCCTTGAGCGCAAAAATCTAGGGCTGCTATTAACAGGTCTATTATCCCGATATGAACGAGATTTCATAATATGTTTTGCTGCTTCCTTAGATTTTCTCAAAATAGGGGTCATTTCAATTCCTAAAAGATTTATTATAAGTTATAACAATTGTATTCTTTTTCTTACAGAAAAATATTGTATACTTTCATGTACCTTCATCTTCTGGAAATAATCGGCATAATTCTTCTGCAACTCTTGGTTCGATTTCCTGCCCATCACGTCCGATTTTCACCTGTTTACCATCATTCCATGGATTATATAAATGTAGTGTTGCTGTAAATGGTAATTCTTTCCTACATATCCAATCAACTTTAAATACACCACCCAAAGCTTTTGCAGACAATCCAGGTGGTAGTACCTAAAATATATATAAACTTCCTTCCTAGCAACATGTAACACAATCTTCAAAGATATATATATTTTTTAAATTAAATATACAAACCCAAGAAATTGGTGCTCCATCTCTTCTAGATTCTGTACTCAGTCTTGCAAACCCAGCAAACTTCCCTGATTCTTTCACAGAAAAAACAAGCAGAACATTTCTGGATTCTCTATAAGCTTGATTTAAATTGGCTTCATTTTGGGGTAATGTACTCCATACTCCTTTAGCCTTTGATAGTGTGACATTTTCAGCATTATTTGATTTGATGATGAAAAATCTGATAAAAAAAACTTTAAGACATGTTCTTGGCATTTTTATATTATTATACTTATCTAAATATTTATAAGTAATTTCAGATAGTAGTAGTTCATAATTATAATTCACACATTAGTTTTGGAAAAAGAAATATATATAAAAAGGATTTGTATTTTAAAAAATATCCAACCTTGCATCTCTAAACAAGTAATTTAATTTTGTTGCATAATCATAGCTCTTAGTAACTCCTTTGCTCTCCTTAGATCTTGCACGTTTTGTTTCAGGGCTAGAAGATTTAGAATCTCTGGATCTAGCACGCTTCCCCCTATTTTTTCGATTACGTTTATTATCTCCACGTGAAGATTTTGTTGAAACAGAGCTTATGCTTGGTTGACTAGAATCAGAATTTGAACTACTAGATGAAACTTCACTACGTGTATCATAAGTTTCATCTGCAGCAATTTTTAATTCATCCACTATATCATTTTCCCCGCAGCTCAGATTTAAGTTGTCTCCATCTGTATTATTGTCCATATTTTCACTTTTTATTTGATCACTTTCACTATTGCTCAAAAGTATGTTGTCACTTGTCCCGTCATCCAGGCTTTGTATTTCTGGATTTTTCGGGTTTTCTTGTATGAAGAGAGAGCCAATGCAGTTCTGGTGCCTTTAAACCTTTTCTGAAACGCAAATATAAAAAAGGGCTTACTAGATGGATATCCAGTATGCAATAATACTTGTCCAAGAACAATATCATATTTGAATGGATCTTGTAGATTTTATAACAATTACGTAGTAGGAAATAATGTAGTAACATTTTTAGTATATGAGAAGAAAAGTTCAGAAGATTGCACATGAAATCCGATTTAAGTCACTGTGGTAAAAGATTAAAAAGTCCATTTGTCAAAATGTTTAATATTAAAATTGTCCTTATGCAGTTTAATTAAAATATTTATAAGTCTTATAGAAGTTTTCAATATATATCTACTATTACTGCAAGACTTCAAGTATTTCTTGCTTCAAGTAGATATAGATTATATCTAATACCGCTAAAGTTTTTGTTTTGCTAGAAACAATGTTCAGCAAAGGAAAAGCTCCTTTTTCTTAATAATTCATGAGCATTTAAGTCCATGTATAAGTTAAAAATAAACATGCTTTAAATGTTGCAGAGATTTTCTTTCTTTAATTTAACAGAGTGTAGTGACACAATTCTTGTTGCTCTACGGAACACAAATATCTCTTTTAAACTTTATATACAAAAGTTTATCGTAAGGTTTATTATAAGTAGATAGTCTTGCTAAAATGTACTTTTTTAGCCTATTTAATATGAGAAGGCGAGGAGTCTTCGAGTTTTTCTGTATTTCAGATAATAACACATCATACTCGTTTGACGTCTCTATGCAGTCTTTTTTAAAACGCGAAGGCTATGCCTAGGAAAGTTCGTCGTGAATATTATTCTTAATAGCAACGTCAGCACCACAAAACATACTCAAAACCATCTTTTTCGTCATTGATTTCATTAAAAAAGTTCGTTTTACAAACATAAGTCCTTGATGTTATAAACCTTTACGCAGCTCGTACACACTTACGTGCACACTCGTTCTTCACTTAACACACTTCGCACCTCACGCAAGAATGCTCAATGACTACCATGCGTTTAACAACTATTTCTATTATTTCTCTGCACGAAATACACAGGAGACTTCCACAAGGAATTAGGTTTTTTCTCCATGAAAACACAATAGCTGATTATCTCCTGGCGGATGCATAAACCATGGCGTCCATTATATGACGTGTTCATTACGATCGATAGGAAGAATTATAGGTGAAAATCCAAGCCGAACATTTATCATGAATTTTAGGAAATTTTATTTTATTATTTTCATTTTATTTTGAAAATTATTTACAAATTTACATATTTTCTATAGAAAAAACTATCTTCTTTAAATACAGAAAATAATAGAATTTTGGCCGACGATAAAGTTTCTTAAATATATGCGAAACTATATATATTTTCTTATCATTATAGGATAGGATTTATCTTACTGATTTATTGAAGATCATTGATTTAAATTTTTTATTTAAATCAAGATGTATTTAAATATAAAATGTAAAAAACACATAGAAAGGGGATAAAACATCTTTTTCCACATAAAATTTGTTAGAATTAAAATCCCTAGCATCATCCATGGTCGCCATCTTTAAAAAGAGATAACGACCATCTTGGATCATTTTTCACGGGTTGTTGACACGGGTAGATTACAGCCGGTTGTGAAAGTGTTTCGTGATGTAAAATTAATCATAATTCATTGCCAGAAATAAGTAGTGGCTATTTAGGAACTAGAATTAAAAGTAATACATCGGTTCACGCGTTTATCATTATTGTGCAAGTATTATTGTATATGAGAGAATAAAAAAATTTTTGGGAATAAGCGTCTGTCACGGATATAAGCAATCTTGACAAAGTCGACAGTTAAGTCTTATCATATTTACCTAGAATTTGATAAAACAATATTCTTACGATCGTGTTTGCACATGTGAGAAAAAAGCCTTGCCACTAGAAAAAAGAAGATAGAAAACACTGAAAATACATCTTATAAAGGAAAATGGTTTCGTGCACATGGTGACACCTCTGGTTAGTTTATACTTTCTATAAACAATTTGTCATACTTTATTTAAAAGTAATTTGATTTGATTGCGAGTATATTACTTTGTTATAAATTGAAAGTTATTAAAAAAATTGTGTGTTAAAAGAATTTTTCAATGATAACTACTATTGTAAATTTTTTACAAGGCTCAAATTCGCTGGTCTGGCAGCTTATAATGGCGAAATACAACGTACGTTTACTTGAATTTTTGTAAATATTGTTTGATTACTCATAATGAATTATTCACATTTTATAACATCCATAGATGCATTTTAAATTTTACACATGCAGAATTATTATGAGTAACTCCTTTTCTCTCTTAAACTTATATTTATTTTTTTTTAATAATATTTAAAGTTCCGCTTATCTACCTGTGTTTATTTTCAAGCTTAAGGTGAATACGTTGTTGTAATAATTATTATTGAAAAATTTATGATATGACACAAATATTTTTATTTTCTTTATTTAGGTATGTAAATGGAAAGTGAGGAATTCAGCAAAAATTCAAGCAAATTCATTAATGTTAAAACATTTAATAAAAACTCATACAAAAAATCTCATACTTAAAGAAAGCTAGTATACAAATTTTGTTAACTTAATTATTGAATTAAAATTTGCAAATTTGCTTCTGTTTCTATAATTCATTCAGAGTAACATTTTATATTATTATTAATAGATGTTTGTATTATCTGATAAATATGAATCATAAATATGAATCAATATAACTTTTAATAATATTAGCAAACTCTTTTAATTATAAAGTATTATATTATTTTTCTTTTTTTTAATATATGTAACATAATTGTTTAGGTATAACAGATTCATATTATAAAAAAGATGAGAGAGAATAAATAAACATTACCATATAATTTTTTATAAATATCTTTTGATTAATAATTAATGATACTATATATTTTGTGATTAATTTATTACAGTTGGATCATAATTTTTTTATTGAATTTACTTATATTTAATTAAGCAAATATTGGAAGAATAAATAGTAAAGATAATTTTTTTAAGTATTGTACATAAAATATTATAGAAAAGATTATATAAATGAAAAAAAGTTTGCTACAGTAGCTTTATTATTTATTTTAAGCTACATTTAACTTTAACCTATTATTACAAAGACGTATACATTATATGCACTGTACATAATATAAGAATATAACATGTGCATGCTTCCACTTTTCATACTTCAACTACAGAGAAAGGATTCAAGTATTGATTGCAGGAGCATGGTGTGCTATGGCAATAGGAGGAGGGTGAAGCCCAGACAAGACCCCACCTCTTTATGCTATGCCTTCCATTTAAGTCTAACTTAAATCATTTCAGACAATCACAGTAAATATATCTAATATGTAACATAATAAAATGTTCCACTAATGTTATCAAAGAATATGCTCTGCACTTCAAAGACATGTCTTGACAGTTGATAAATCAATGACCTGCATAAACATTTATGAAACATTAAAATTCAGATGTAGATACAAAACAATTTTATAAATAAATATAATGTATCAAATTTATTCATTAGTTAAATCATGTACAATCAATTACTTTCATGTCACACCTATTAGTATAATATCTTTCTTTCCAGATCATTAAAAACATGATAAATACAAAAAATATATGAATAACAATGGGCTGAAATACATCAAATTGTAAAATTCATCACTTTTATATACAAGAAGTGCAGGTAATAATAACATATAATATATATGTATCTTTTTTAAAAACTTATTAGTTTTATAGAGACTTATTGAATTTAAATTATTGAAACAGTTCATAAGTGCTATGTGCATTACACGATATTTTACATCACTTTTCTGTTAGGAGAATTACATCATGGCAACAGTGGAAGAAAAGAAACGAGTTGGTGGCTCAAAGGTTTCAGCCATTGCAAATATCTTTCAATCAAAACCACAATTGGATAATCTAAGCCATAGAACAAATAATATTCTATCAGATGGTTTCAAGGAACCAGCTGTGCCTTTAAAAGAATCTCCTACACAAGTTACAGTTGTTAGGACCGAGAGTCATGTAGCCCGTTTTAATAATGCACGTGCACTTTTTGAAAAACTTGGGGAGGAGAATAAACCAAATAAACCGTAAGTGTATAATAGCAAATAGGAAATAAATGTATAAAATATATAATATGCTATTCAGTTATCTTTAGAGTATATCTTCTGTGTAGGGTGGACAGGATTACAAAACCTAGTAACTTACATGGTTTGAGATCACGTTCTAGCTCTGCAAATTCTGGTTCAGGTTGTACATCTCCAGCTCGATCACCACGTCCTAGATCACCATCACCTCCAGGAACCAGAGATCATTTGAGCAATTGGAGTGCAAGTGTACCAGCTTTGAATGCTGAAAGACATTTTGAAAATGGTCATAATCATGGTTTGGATAATATACCAGATAAACATAAATCACGAGCAGGCTTTGGAAAATTTGACAAAAATTATGGCAAAGAAAATCGTTTGGATGATCGGCCAGAGAAACCAGAAAAACCAGAGAGGAGATTAAACTCAAAAGAATTAATTGAAAAACAAAAAAATTGGACTAGTCACTTTTCAAAAACAAGACCAAGTAGATATAATTCAGACCCAAATAGATCTTTGGTTCAAAGTTCTTTAAATCAGAGTGCAAATAAAGTGAATGTTGAAGCTACTTCTGTAGGACATGTACAAAATGCTGCAAGTACTGATAGTGAGTCAAAAAGATCATCAGATATTTCTGCTAATCCAGCTACAAGATCTGCAAGCTTCTGTTCTGTTAGATCGTCAGCCATATCACCACCTCCACCATTACCACCAACAAGAAACTCTTCTACTTCAAATACAAAGAAAGAGAGACCAGCTAGTATTGCTGCAATATCTCCACCAGATATTCCTAGTAGTCCGGAATATGCTACCATAAATAAATATTTTGATACTTCACCGACTATACCTGAATATGCAGTTGTACAAAAGAATATAAATGTACAAAATAAACATTTCCAAAGAAATCAAGAACAAAGGGAAATTTCAAAAAATCCTACAGTAGAGAAAACACAAGATGCGTTCATCCCAGAATATGCAGTAGTGCAAAAGAATACTGCAGTTAAATTGCATTCACGAAATGCAGATACATCGAAAAATACTTCAGTGCATCATTCGAAAAACAGTTCTGAAAGTTGTGCATTACCTCTTAAAAATACTCTTGCAAGTTCAAGTATCGATATTTATTCACAAACAAAGTCACATATTTCCTCTTATGAAAGAAATTCTGACATGTCTAGTCCAACACGAAGTATGTCAATAGAAAATATTGTTAGTATGTCAATGGAAAGTAAAACAAGGAAAGATAGTGACCTTCTTGATGCTCCTGAATATTTAAATTATCCTTCAAACGTTATACGTTCGCCACCTAAAACTTCTGAGTGGAGAAATGAATGGTTAGCCAAAAACGATGAAATTTTAAAGAAAGCAACTGATTTAAAATGTGTCAGGGAAGATACAGAAGCCAAAAATGAAGTTGTAAGACCTGATCCACGACCAGACTGGGCCAGACCATGTATAAATACTGTGAGGAAGAAAGATAATCTGACAGAAGAAAAGAAAATAGAGTCGTCAAAATCTCCAGATCCGGAATTGAGACCACCTTCTGGAGGTACGGATAGTGCATCTTCTAGTATGAGCTCCCCTAGCTCCCCTTCCAAGGATAGTAAAGAGGAGAAGGCAGATAAGGAAATGTCAGAAAAATTTCAAGCCGGTATAGTATATGTGAATAATTCGATTCATACATATACAATAACACAATTCATACCTATACAAACATATATAATAGGAAATACATTTTATACATATGTATAAACATAAATTTAACTAAATTTTATATTTTAGTAAGTGAATTTTATATTTTATTAATTACTATAAAACAATTATCTTACAATATATCTAAATTTTGCAATTTTATTGTGGCTATGTGCCAAAATACTAAAAAGTAACAGTGCAGAAGGAAGTTCTCCCTCTCTTCCCTCTCCTTCTCTTCTTGATCTTAGTTCCTCCTACTGGTTCAACAGTATTATTTATAGAAATCTGTGTATTCTGTTCTGCTTCTGTCTGGTTCTACTTCACACCATTTATTTCAGAGAAGTACTTTACAAATTTTAATAATTT